CCCCTACACCACAAATAGGCATCCAATGTGGGAAACACCTGGAAAACCTATGACCAATTTCACTGGAGGAACCCAGATGTCAAGGTGAAAGAACAAAAGGCAATCTTAGACTCCATCCCACACAGAACAAGTCCTGGAGACATGGACATGGAAGAAATTGGAAGTCAAATACCTGAAATTTCTGAAAGGATAGCAACTGAAGTAAAGAAACAACTTCATGAGGCTGTAAAAGAAATCATATGAGAAATACTATCTTGGGTAAAAGAAGAAATGAAAAACAATGAAAAAATTGTTGAGCATATCTAAGAACACAAAGATTAAAAAAGAGGAGCATAGGAAAATGAGAGAACGTTGAATGAATGATATAGGGAAGAACTGGAATGCATGAGGAGATTCAAAGAGATATCCAGGAAATTAAAAACTCCACTGAATTCTGGAAAAACTGCTAGAAAGAAACTGAAGATAGACTTTCAGACCTTGAAGACAGGATTTCAGCTAGCAATCGTGAAAAGAATGGTCTCTTAAAAACAGCAAGGACCCAGAAAATAACAATCCAACAGCTGCAAGATGATGCATAGAAAAATAATTTAGGACTGATAGATATCAGCAACAAAAATCAGAAGTCAACACAAATGACATAAAAAGACTATTTATAGAAGAAATAGTATAGAACTTCTCAAGTGTGGGAAAATGACCTGACATACAGATAAGTGAGGCATACAAAACTACAAATAGCCATAAGCAAATTAAATCTACACCCAAACATATAATAATCAAGATCTCAGAAATTCAAAACAAGAATAAAACATTAAAGGATATTAGAGAAAAGAAACAGACCTATAAAGGAAAACCCATCAGAATCATGACACACTTCTCAATAGAAACCATCGAATCAAGAAAAGCTTGGAGTGAAGTATTTCAAGTCCTGAAAGAAAACAAGTTCCAACCCAGATTGATGTATCCTGAAAAGCTATCTTTCAAAATTAATGGAGACATAAGATACTTCTGTGAAAAAAAAACAATTGAATGAATTAATGAACTAGCCCTACAAAGAGTGCTGAAGAATATTCTAGAGGAAATGAAGATGACCATGGTTCTAAGAACAGCAGCAGAGGAGGATTGCCAATCAGGGAAAGCAACTGAACAAAGGGGAAAAGTGGGCAGCCAATGATAAGAGAATAACGTAGCAGAGACGAATCAGTGCATGTTGGTCATAATATTAATGCAGATGGCCTCAATTCACCAATAAAAAGAAACACAGGCAGAGTGGATCAGGAGACATGATCCCTCAATATGCTGTATTAATATGTGTGAAAGAAACACATTTGACTTGAAAAGAAATTCATGAACTAAGTGTTGGAGGAGTGAGGACATTGTTCTATGCAACAAGGACCCAGAAAACAGCAGGGGTAACTTACCCATCAATCACAGAGTGGAGAAGAAAGCTATGGTATTTTTATACACTGGAAAGGTACTTAGCTAGAAAGAAAGATCATTTCAAGGCTCTTGTAAGTAAATGGATGCAACTTGAGATCATGCTCAAGGATGAAATGGTTCAGATTCACATGAGTGAACATTGTGCTGTCTCCCTAGTATAAAAACTGAAGGAGTTAGTGGGAACCAAAATGTACAATAGATATTATGAAAGTGAAAAGGGAGGTAACATCTAAAAATGTAAGGTGGTAGCCATTGTTAATTTCCTATTATCGTGTTTTGAAGTCCTGTATAGTTTTCATTGTTTTGTTTTGATTGGTTTTTATTCTGTTCTTTTGATTTTGTTATGTCTGATGGTATAGGTAGCTATTTTGAAGATAACAACAAGCATTATGGTAGCCATTGATGATTTCCTGCTATCTTGTTTTGAAGTCTTGGATTGCTTTCATTGTTTTGTTTTGATTGGCTTTATTCGGTTTCATTTTGTTTGGTTTTATTCTACTTAAAAAACCTCATTTCTTGTGAGCATACAGCCCAGCGGAAACATTGCATGTGTGGCAACCCAGGTCTTGTTCAACCATTATTGAACATGTAATTATAAATATCTAATGGAAGAAGTTCTGAGGAACTCTTCTGCTGGTCCTAAAATGAGAAAAGATGCTGAGAGAAGGGAAAAGGAAGTGCTTGATCAACAAATGATTTTGTTAGGGTTGAACTGAGACCAATACTCCAATTGCCCATAACCTTAAAGAATAGTTTGGGATAATTGGTTTCAGGTGTCAACTTTCTTTTTTAAGCTTGGAAATCACGCTCCTGTCTGATTCTTCTGGAGTGGACTTCTGCAGAAAAGTATTTCTCAGGTTGGCTCAACAAGCTTCTATCCTGGGCATACTCATCCCGTCCACTGTGAGGGTAACCAGAGACCAGAAAATGGAAACTATGACCAATCATCATGTCAGCTTGCTGTTTAGAAACTTGTCTTTCTGAGAATGGTTTCACAATTACTAAATCCAAAGAACATTTTCTCTAGCTTTTTATTTTTAGATCATAGCACACGATGTTAGTTGCTGTTACCTTTTCCATAAAACCTTCTGCTCTGTGACATCACCCTCTCCTAATTCTCCTTTATTTGTGCCTCCATTTCTCTTCATTCTTCCTCCTGAAACATTCTTTTTATGCCCAGACATTTAATTTCATTGGTTCGTAGAATTTGACTTCAGCTCTGTGCTTTCTTTAAAAAATACATTATTCTTGGGTCATTTTCTTTAATTGGATCAATAGCCCTTCCAAGATCATAATAAATACTCCTCCTAACTCTTTGTTTTACAACCTCACTATCTCTCTAGTATTCTTCAAGACAATGATAGTGAGTGGCAGAAAGGGCTAAAATTAAATTTGGACCTCCGTGTCCAGCAGCAAAGTCAGGAAAACAGTGACTCTAGCCATGAAGAGTTAGCTGTTATGATGAAAAACCAGTAGAATAGACTCAGCGGGAGGGTGGGATAAGCTGAATTTAGGAAAAAACTTGCTGTAGATAACCTGGGTGAGATATACTGAAGATGAGACATTTATTCACTGGTTTATAAAGAATCAATGGGATGTTTAATCACTTAAACATCAATGGATGTTTAAGTGATTAAAAATTATGTGTGAAAAATTACAGTGGTACCTTGGTTCATATACTGAGTTTGTTCCATAATTCTTTGGAAGATGCCTGCAGTTGTGTTTGTCAGCTGATACTGAGTTCATAAATGGAAGCAAAATTTTGCAAATGCTTCTGTTCTGGAACCAAATTGTTTGTGAACAGAAACCTTCACAAACCAAGGTATTACTATACATGTAATTTTGAGATCTATGAGTAGAGGGAAAGATTTAGAAAGTGCTGGGTTCCCAATGAGGTTGGGGACTATTTTATTTCCAAACTTCAATTCTGTCACGGTCCCTGGCTGATGGGGCTTTTTAACAAATCAGTCTACCTTTTCAAAGCTCACTGTTGTTCTGTACCTTGTACACATCACATGAAAAGAGTGACTACTTAGTTTAGGAGTTCTTTTTGTGATTTTCTAATGTTTTTCAAGCATACAAATACAACCAAGGGAAACCATATGCTAACTCTGGCCCTTGCCAACAGTAGCAAATGCTTGGTGGGCTGCATCCTAGGACTGGGTACAGGTGGTAGGTGTTATGAATATGAACAGCAAAGCATCACTCAGTTTGCTGGGTGGGAGACCACAGTTGACTGATTGACCAATGACCCCTCCCAAAAAATCCAGTGGGGTGTTCTATGTGGTGCATCCCACAAAGCCGTTCAAAATTACTTCATTTTCATTCAATAAGAAAAAGTTGCTTATTTCCTAAAACACCAATATTCTGGAAAGCAAAATTAAAGACTCAACTGGCCATGGGAACATGTACTGTTTTGAAATATTTTTAAGTTCATCTGGAATATATCAACAGCAAAGGTATTGATGAAGACTAGCGTGAGACTGGATGAGATTCTACTGCAGCATTTTTTGCTGTCTTTAAATGTCTTCTTGTTGTTGACTTCTTTCCTCTGTACAGGGACACTATGTTAAGAGAAATCTAAGTCTTTCTCTGCCTAGCAGCTTGAAGATGGGCAGAGAAAGGAATGAATTTTTATTTAGCATTTCAGATAAATCTGAACATAGCTCATTTTCTCTCCAATCCCCTGATCACTTTAAGCAAAGTTGAATTTAGAGAGCTTTTTCCTTCCCTTCTTTCCTTCTTCTCTGGTTTCCTTCCTTCCTCACACTTATAAGTGTCCCGAATGTCCAATAATTTGTCATATTTTAAAGCCATAGATATAAAGCTGCAGACATCAGAGTTCTGAGAGATGTTCCACCTTACACGTTAGCTTTGTAGCTGAGGACCCTGTGCCCCAGAGAAATGGATGTGGAGCCAAGTCTTACTCTCCTGGGTATTTTCCTTGTTGCTTTCTCTCTTGGAGGAGATAACAAGAGGTACAGGCATTTACTTTGGGAAAGATCTTTATCGAAAGCTTCCATAGTCTTTTTTTATTTTGTTACATTGTGAAGATTCTTAAAACCAACAGAGGGAAGTCAGGATTGCCTGTTATGGATGTATACAGATGTCCCCCCAAAGCTTAATGCTGCCACAGGTGGGGCTTTTGGAGGAGGGTGGTTGGATCTAGAATGTGTGAATGTGGGTGAAGGATGTGATTCTGGGATTAAGGCTGTGTGGCACTAACTTAGTTCACTGATGAGAATTAGTGTACCTCTGGTGTGGTTAAATGGGTTTAACGAAGACAGGAGCCCCATCCTGGGTGTGGGCGGCACCCCCCACAAGGCCTGTGGCCTAGATGGTCTAAAAAACAAAGGAAGTATTGCTGCTACTGCTTTGCTTCACCGCTTGTTCTCCTGCCCGCTTGCCATGTTTCTCTTGTGATGCCCTCTGCCATGCTGCCCTGCCCTGGAGCCATCTGACTGCGGACTGACATCTCGACAAACCTTTCCTTTCACCTGTGAGTATTGAGCATTTTATCTCAGCAATGCAACGTTAGTTAAGACAGTCTTGGCAGCACTCACCCACAAACAGCTGGCTGTAGAGTTCTAGGCGTGTGTGACCTTCCGTCGGGGCCTTGCGGATCTGCTGGGGCAGCCGGTCCACCTGGAGACTGGCCTGCTTGACATTCCGCTCTGCGGTGACCCGGTGCCACTGGTCATCGTTGAGAGGGGAGGGTGACCTCACGACGATCTCTACTGGCCCGTTTCCAACATCAAATGAAAAGGACACTTCTGTGGCAGCTGGAGAAACAGAAAGTGTGAAAGTCAGATGAGGATGGTTCTCCCAGACACCAAAGAGCAGTGAACTGGAAAAACAAAGCAGGACTAGAAAAATGTCTGTCCAGGTCTCAGTTACAAAGGTACATGGAGGAAGCATGTGAAGAGCACCAACCTGTTGATCACCATCACTAAACAAGGGGGTCTATGTGCCAGTATGTTACTTAATCTTTTGAAGCTTCCCAAGAAGTTATCATCATTGATTCACTTTAGGAGGGAAACTGTGGTCAAGGGAAGTTGATGAATTAAGACCCAGAGCCGAATGTCTTAGGTCAGTGAGTTAGTGGATCACAGGATCTGAGTCCGAGTTAACCAGGCTTCAGAGCTTGAGATCTTTGGCTCCTATTTGAGTAGTGATTGTCTCTGGTGAGAGATTTTTGACACATCTGGCTTCAGAGATTTTAACTGCATCTGGAATAGGTGCTGGTGTGTCCCAAAGTTCTCTGGGAAATGTTAATAAGTAGAGCAGAGAATTGCTGCTTTGGGAGGAACTTACAGAAATCCAGTCCATTAGCTTTGAAAGTTAGGAATATGTGAGTTGCTGAAACAGTGAAGGTTACCTACACCTTTTCTGGACAACTTGCAGCTGTCTTGAAAGTTGCACGACATTCTTAGAGCACAATCCCTTTTACATCGTGTGTTGCACACCTTGGTTGGTCCCCAGCTGCGATTCTGGGTCCTTTGCATAACCTTCCCTCCAGCACTGACCACAAATCATTCTATTTTTTGTTTTCAGAGATCTCCTCCAAGTTTCTTCCTTCTGCAATAAATCACCCTCCAACAATAGGAAAATGGATTCGGTGGCTGCGTTGTCAACTTTAGTTAGAAGTGGCTTTCTTATTTCACATTTTCAGTTTTCTGTGCAGCTTCTCAGTGACCACACTGCGCTTTACAAACGTGTTTTTTTAAATGGGTATTTTTCTTGTGATTGGCAGGAGGGCAGCTTACTGCTGAAGCAGCAAGCACGTCCTAAGCTCCCTCAGGCTTGCTGGATTCTTTTCAACATTAAAGATGTGGCACAACAGTGAATTTCCTGACTTTGCTTATAAAGATATCCAGCCCTCTATCCATCAATAAGCCTTCCACCTAATCTCTAAGCAGTTTAATTAAATATCTGTCATTTTTTCCAGGGCTAATGGAAAATTCAGTTTCTTCAGGCTGGTACCATTTTGAGATGGTGTTGCAAGCAATCAGACTTCTAATTTAAAAGCCACACAGGGCAGGATTTTCGCAGGGGCTACAGTGTTCCCTGCTTCTGTGTTGAACCCCCCGGAAAGCTGCATTAACTTTATTGAGCTACAGGGATGTTAGACGTAGAACTCAATTTAATCAACATAATTGTGCTAAAGAATTTTGATCCTTTGTGTCATTAGGAAGAGTACTTTAATGTTAACAGCAGTGGTGATTCCATGCACACTCCAGGAAAAAATCTGCAGAGCCTCTACTTCTAGGGGTCACTGGGACAGGATTTAACATGCAGTGTTAAATGGTGACTGCTCTCAAAGAGTTTTGGAGTTATGATCAGAATGCAGGTGGGTGACAATGTGACCCATGAGCTGAATGATCTTTCTTGGCAGTTTGGAGACAGTCGATGGGGGAAAAAGTGGCCTTGGTTTAAGATTAAATCTGCTTTTGTCTCACAGTGCTGTGTCCTGGCAGATGCGGTTTTAAATGTAAGTTGTCAGAAGAGCAAGAGAACAAGGGAGTCTGGGCTAAGTAGGAAAGATTGTTTTGTCTTAAAGGCATCAACTGCCATCAGGGAAATAGAATTTAGGGATAAATTGAGTTTAACCCTAAAGTTCAACACAAAAGGATAAATGCTGGTCTAATTTTCCCTGCTGCTGTCCTTCTGCTATGATGAATCCTTGCCCAAGTCTTTAAACTGTCAACATTTGGAGAAATTCTAGGCACCAGCAGTCATTAAAAACCATCCACACTTTTCTCTGTGTTTATCACAATGGATCCCTATTTTTTTCTCTTGACATGGTCTCCTTAGCACAGTATCTTGCTCTAGAGAAGGAAAGAAAGTTGACAGAGTTCTGCTGTAGCTCAGAACTCCTGCCAGCTGCTCCAAGGGTATAGCAAAAGGGATCCAAGGTCACACAATTCTACAAGCAACTTCGTCCCCATGGAGCTTCCACTGAGACACTGCTGAAATATTTACAAGCTCGGCATATCCGGTTTCCCTTCTGTGGTTGCCTAAGGAAGGGGCTGCAGGCGCAGTGTGAGAGAGCAAGGACGGGGTCCTTTTCCTCATTCAATATCAGTTGCCCTGACATTGTTGCGGCATACCTTTGATAAATCCCATCTCCCAGGCAGACAGCCAGTGTATTTTAAAAGCTTCTAAAGTTCAGTTTGTGGCTGATTGCACTTGGTCTTCTGGGTGAGAGCAACTGACATTTTAAAAGAGATAATTATAGAGAAAGCCAGTGAGCAAATAAAAAAGAGGCAGCTTAGAAGACACCAGAGCCAATGACACTGTCCTCTCTTAATGTGACTCTGCTTGGAGACAGAAGTGTTGCTCTGGTTTTGCCTGTCAAGAAGAAATCCCTTATAATCATGTTTCTTCTTCTTTCCAGCAATAAAGATCAGAGAGCTGAGTATAGATAGCACGACGCATCAGAAAGGACATGCACTCAAACATGATTTACTGCATTCCAGCAGTGGCAAGAGGTGGGGAGTTCTGAGTTTCTTACCCGTTTGCAAGCTACCAGTTAGCTGCCCAGTTTCATGATGTGGGTGGAAGACACGCGAGTCCTGGTCAGAGACAAAGGATTTATACTCCCCACATAGTGGGCAGCCCGAGCTGCATGCTCAGGTCATTTTCCATCTCTCTGCCCCCAAGTCCCATGGGGGTGACGTAGGGCTTCACAGATGGATGCTGCACATGCAGTACCTTTGCTTCACAGTGGAGGAACCCCAAATTTAGAAAACTGATCCTTTAAATGAGCTGATAGCAAACACGCTCAGTTTTTGCCTTGGGAAAGGCATTGTCCTTATTATCCTGGTCAGGAAACAAAACATTTCCTCCTTGACAGAAGGCACTGTCTTCCAAAGTGTGTGTTTGCACACACACACACACACACACACACACACACACACATACGTGCACACACGTGCACACACGTGCACCCTTAGAAAGGTTAACAAAGGTGTTAATGCCACTATCTCAGAAGACTAGCAGACACAGGAGATCATGAGGAGTTTTCCTGTCCAAATTAGTCACATTTACCTTTTCTCTTGTGAGCTGACCTGACTACCCAGAAATCAAAGTGTTTTCAGAATCTTATCCTTCTTCAGAGGATGGCCCTAGCTCAACCCCAGAAGGTGAATCTGGATTTTGATAACACAAACATAGCAATTCCATGCTGCCTGCCAATGAACCACTTAGGATAGGACAAAGTATTTCCTTCTGCCGATGAGATGTAGGCTGGGACTTCTGATGGTGTTTTGAAAAAAGTATCTTAGCTTATAAGATAGAAAAGGAAAAGGGAGTCTCACGCCACTTGACATGGGTAGGGAGGTTGTGGCTCCTCCTAATGTTGCTGGAACCATTGGATAAACATCAGATTACTGAGAAGAGCAGAGCACAGCGGCATGACACTGGGCCCCTACCACTACTGGGAGAAAAGAAAAAGTTACAAGATAAGTGCACAAGGTGGCATATTGGTATAGTAAATACTGTGCTAGAGATGAGGAATTCTGTCGAGTAAAGTTGGGTCATGAAAGAATGCAACAGAACCACGGACAGCGTTCGCCACCTTCTCCCCCTTCAAGTGTAATTCCAGCAGGTGGCGCTGTTACCCTCTTTCTAATTCACGATCGGTTTCCTCAAACAAATCACTGCAGGTTTAGTGGACTGAGTGATAAATTTACCAACTGTCCAGAAAGCAGTCTTTATGGGCTCCGAGTCCTCCCAGCTGGGGAGGTAACATTTAGACATTAGACTAACGGTGTCAGGTGGAGGTAGCAGACCCAGTCTAGTCACTCAACATCAAATGGTAAAGAGAAAAGCCAAGGAAAGATGCCTGGCATGCGGGACTGGTGCATTTTGGCAGTGATGCTCCTTCCATTTCGTAAAGTGAAGTTTGAGGAACGATAGTATCTACACAGCTCTTCTGCACCAGTTCTCAACGGACATCCAGCAAAGCTGAAAACAGGAGGAGTAGGTATTTCAGCCTCACTCTCCAGGAAGGAGTACTATGAATATCATTTGTTCCTTTTATTTTCTGACGGGCATCAGAAGACTAGAGAATTTGGATAGGGTCATGAGAAAAGGCAGGAAGGCTGAAAATAGATCACTGCAGGAATCAGAGACCTGAAGAAAAGGAGCATGATGGGAAAAAAGACCCGTATGTTCCAGCCTGAGGCGACTCCTGCACAGGCATTGCTGTTGCTTTTCACCTAGGCAAGGACTGCTCTCTGCAACAGCACCAGTGATTTGCCTTTTACTAGGGCGTTCCACCTGCACGCATTGATTAGCCTCTACTCTTAACTATTCCCACATGGCCAAACCCTTCTCTTGGCCTTATTTATTCCAGCACTTTCTACTGCAGCTCTTCCTGTTCTTTCCGAGTTCTTTGCAAAGGTGACTGGCACTCTACCTATCCATCCCCTCCTTAGTCTCCATTTAATACCATTATATCAACCTTTCTCCTTCACTGCACATGAAACTGTTCTGCCTGGGGCCTTAGCATTTGCTGCTGAATTTACCCAAGTAGTTCTAAGACTGCTCTTTTACTTCCCTGCTTAAAAGTCTCCATATTAGAAATTCCTTCCCTAAATATTTTATGCAAACTAGCAAACCACCCTCTCAGCTCCTTAGTCCTTTTATATCCTGCTTTAAAAAAAATCTACCCAACATGCATCACTATCTATCAGAATATTTATGTCCTCCTAGCTTCACTAAGGCAGAGATTTTTCTGTTCTGGTCATGATTCTATGCTCCCCACCTAGAACAGTGC